TGCTCATCACATTCAGAAGGTCTTGTTTTCCCCAGTTCCCCCAGGAGCCAAGTGTATTATTATGGTGAGATTTGCTAGGGCAACTTCACCTGGCCACTTGCATTATGCAAGCCAGCTGCCTTTGTGTTTCACTGGCAGCTTGTTAGAGTTCCCTGTCTCTCCTGCCCACTACATTTGTGACAGTCACACAGTTCAGTAAGGTGGATCCTGTAGTGGTGGTGAGGAAACCAGAGCACCAACGAGGCGGGGATTAGAGGGCAGGAAGCATTCCACTTGGAGACTGTCCTGGCCCCTTTGAGCCCTGACTTGGCTCTTTTTCATCTTGGGCATATGAGAAAAGCAGAAACTGCTTGGCACCTCTGCTAGGACCCCTGTCCTGCTCATCCAGGCCAGCCCTGGCCTGGTCATGCCACTCAGCTGCCCCTTTCCACCTTCCCAGCCATTCTGGAATCTTCAGCATCTCTTTTTGCCTCAGATCAAGGTAGTGTTCCTTCAACTAGTTTCTCAACTCTGACCAGACAGGCCACAAGCTATTCCTTCCTTGTAAATATGCTTTCAATCCCAAGCCCAGCTCTGCTCTTCTCGGTGCCCTAAACATTCAGTGTAACAAGGGTAAAGTAGATAAAAAGGAACCGAACATTATCAAAATGTTTCTCCTGTAACAAGGATCTATACAAACAGATACCAAAATCAATCGATAAGACAAGCGAGATAGATCTACAATCATACATACATGCGTGTCCCTCGTGGCACAAGGCAATTATCAGTCCTGTGGGTGCATCCCAGAACCCTCTGGCCCCGTGGTACTTTGGGTGGTGGAAATGGAAGTTACTATGTTTCTCTTCTCTGTAAAGAAGAGATCCAGGACACATCTCAGTTTCAAATTCCCAGTGGGTAACTGCTGGGGATTAGGGATCACAGTTCAGAGGCAGTTCAGTGCTTGGAACCAAGCATCTTATGAAGCACTATGAATAATGCCCTTGTAGTGAAATCTGGGTTCCACAGTTGACCTAATGCAGAGACCCCGTCCCACAGAAAATTGGTTTCCAGAGACTTTAGCTATAGGGGAAGCCACTCAGGTTTTCTGATATGTGACCTGGGGTGTGTTCTCTGCAAAAAGGGGGGGAAGGTATGAGGGTGCAATTGCAACTACAAGAAGACTGAAGTTTTGTGCATATCAGGTGTAGTGATTACCCGACACACTGGCTGTGTAATAGCCATCTGCTTGTCCCACCCCTGGAGCGGCGGAATCTGTTCTAACACGTGCGCCTAGCTGCACGTGTGTTTCTTTCTCTTGGGATACTCCTGAAGGATTGGCTGTGGGATTCCCTGGGAACAGCATCATCCTGCCCTGTGGTTTGCGCGATTATGTACTTAGTCCTAAGCCTTCCACGATCGTCAACGGCTCCACCCAGGGAGGCTAAAAGGCAAGGCAAGTCATCTTGAGGCGACTTTCCCTGGGCCCCGTCTTCAACACTTCCCTCTGACCCTCCTCCATGCTGGGAACAGAGTGAGCAGTCCAGGCTACCCTCTGGCCAAGAACAGGACATTCTACATTCCATGGCCACCCAAGGCAGCTGCAGGCTTGACTGAATAGGATTCTTCCAGCACAGAGGAGAGGCTGGCTTCAGCAGCCGGCAAGGGAGGAGGTCAGTGGCCATTGAGTTACTCACCTCGCTTGCTTCCTACCCCACATGTTTGTCTAAACGATCACCCTTTGTTCTCATCTTATTATGAAAGGTGGCCCTTCCTCACGGGCTCCTCTGGGAAACAGAGATGCCTGGGGTGAGACTGTGGGGCGTGACTCGCGGCCACCAGGGAGAACTAAAGTGAATCTCACACCATTTAGGGCTACCTCTGGCCTAGAGCTCCCATGGATACTGAAGTAAGGTGTGAAGACACTCGCCTTCAATCCCAGCATCGAGAAGGCAGAGGCAGGGGTAGGTGGATTTCTGTGAGTTTAAGGCCAGCCGTCTACAGAGCTCAAGATTGAGCTCAATTACATATTGAGTTCCTATTTTTTTTTAAAAAAAGAAAATAGTGTGTGTGTGTGTGCGTGTGTGTGCGTGTGTGTGCGTGTGTGTGTGTGCTGACTCCTCCAGGTCACAGGAACAGGTTCTCAGAGTGCTCCCTAGCAGGTGACTAAGGAGATTTGATTTAAAATTTTAAAATAAAATTACTTTATTTTAATTATCTCATAAATAAGGACATTATACATTTAATTTTGGTAACTACTCAAACACTTGCCCAGCCGAGAGGATTTTATATTAGAACATCAGTTCTCAACCTGTGGGTCTCGATCCCTGTGGAGATCGAAAGACCCATTCACGGGGGCTGCATATCAGATATTCTGTATCCTGTATATCAGATATTTACAATATGATTTATAACAGTAGCAGAATACAGTTGTGATGTAGCAACAAAAATAATTTTATGATTGAGGTCACCACAGCACTAGAACTGTATTAAAGGGTTGAACATTAGGAAGGTTGAGAACCACTATATTAGAATCTGCATTACCAGTCTACCAGTGGGCAAACTTGTGCCAGACAGTCCAAAGACTCTTTACACACCAGTGGTATCTGGAGCATATGCCAAGCCTGTGGTCAGAGAGAAGGCTGAGGTTAACCAAACTCTGATGGGCTCAATGACTAAAAGTGAGGTTCCTGCTGTAACTACAGAACACACTTCATCTGAGGGTACCACCTTTAAAATGGTACAGTCACCTGTGCGGGCCAAGGGCAGAATGTCCCTGCACAGCCAGACACAGTTAGCACACAGTTAGCACAGCCAGACACAGAGGATGAGCAGGTAGTCTGACCCCAACAGAGGAAACGGAGCCTACTGGGCGTGAGCCAGACTCATGTTCTCTGATCACGAGACACAGCTCCTGCAGCAGTAGGGTGGGCTCTGGAAATCCTGCTGGCAAGTCGCTCTTCCTGTCCTGTTGTCATCACTTGAGGCTCTGGAGGATGCAAGGCAATCTCCTACACATGGCTTCCAGGCCCTTGCTAAATATGGCACAAACTTGGTGACAATGGCTTTGTTTCTTCTGCTGTCCTCCAGATACCCTCCCCATACACATACACATATATACTAAACCTGTGTTCCAGTTTCCAAAGCTTCTCATGGATCCCTACACATTAAACTTCATCACGCTTCTAATAACAATAATTAGCTCCTTCTCATTGAGAGCTTATGTGTCATATACTGCACCAAGATTTCCATGGGAATTTTCTCATCTCTCCTTCACAACTCCGTGAGGAGGCACAGCCACAATTTACACCTTCTCTATGGCTAGAAAAGTACATGTGAAGGGTGCAGTGGTTTACATATGAGCACACAGGAACCTGCTCTGTCTGACCCCAGGGCTCATGCTCTGCGCCAGGGGTTGGCAAAGGATTTCCTTAAAGAAATGAAAAGCGAATTCTTCCGGCTTTGCAAATTGCAGTCTTGGTTGTCACAGTGTGGAGCAGTTGCAGACTTTGACATACACGGAGTAGGGAAGTGAGAAGATACACACCTGTTGCGTCACTGGCTTCCCCACCTTGCAGAATGACCACACCCAGTGCCCCTACCTCGGTGGGTAGCGAGAATCAGCGCTCCGAACCATGAGATGCACTTGTTTCCCAGAACTGGGTGGAAGCACATTCTTGGGGAAGCATTGTGCAACAGGGCGTTGGGACGACAACGGCTTCCGTTGTCTGGGGAAGGTCTCTATCCTGCCAGACGCTGACTTAGCACCTTTGAGGAGTCGGGAGCTTCCCACCTTCCTGGATGCTGGGTCCCCAACGTTCCAAAGAGCAGTGACTGAATTCAAAACAGTAACAGGACCTTACACGGGCTCCGGTGAGGGCGGGAGTTGGCACCTCCTCCCACGGCTGCTTCTTGAGCTACTTGCTCTCAGAGACAGCACACCTGGAATTGCTCAGGGTTCCCCATGCATGGTTTCTATTGCATGAGCAGGAAGAAGTGAACCTCACTCCCCTGCAAAGCGAGCGCAGGTTTCCTTTGAAATTTGACTTTTTCAAGAAACGTGACTAGACAAATAAATCGAGAATAGACTTGTGAAATCGCCACACTTGTCAATGCCCATTTCAGTGATTAATCTGCATGCCCCCTCGACTTTCTGGACACACCCTATGAATAACAATTCTGATTCCTGATCCCTAGAAGTGTCCAAAGAGATGGTTAGGAAAATCCTGAGAGTGCCCGGGAGACTTTTCATTTGGAGTTCTTTAGTCTGAGATCTAAGAAAGCAACCCAGGGCACTGCAGAGGGCAATGCCTGGGAAAGGGGAAAGACTAGTGAGAGAGGAGAGTGCGGAGAGAGGCAGCAGCTAGGACGGAGCAACTGCAGAGGTCAGGGGGTGTCTGACCCCGTGCTCAGGGAAAAGCCAAGTAAAGCTTAGCATGTAGGACACCGTCACAGTTAGGCTCCTCACGGGAAGAATCAATTATCTACTCTCCGGCCTTAGAAAAGAGGGTTGTATGGGCAAAGAGCCTCTACTGGCCATGCCAGATCATAAGGAAGAGCAGCCAGGAGCTAGAGAAGAATTAGTTCCATGTAGCTGGCAATTTCTAGAGTGGGATATTGGGCAAATGCTTTATGACTGTAGGGAGAGTCTGACAGAGCTAGGGAGGGAGGGGCAGGTGGAGGGAAAACCTGTGTGGTGAGGGGGCACACAGGGAGTGTCTAAATAAGCAGAAGGAAGGGACAATTATCACAGATCAGCTCCTTGTCTCTTTTGTTTGAGAAGATGACTAACTCATGACTTCAGAGAACTTACGTCCAGGCTCATTGTATTCAAGTCAAGGCTGGAAGGCAGGAGAATTTGCTCCATGACTAAAAGAAGCCAAAAGCATTCTTCAAGTATCAGACGTTTCTAGATCTGGAGGTGATCTCATTATTTGTAAAGCCCTGCCCTTCCCACTATACAAGCTCACCTTCGGGACCTAGCCCAGCCCATCCACACTATATATAAGCAGCTGCCCAGAGCCCATCACGCTCATCCGCTCAGCTCTGCCCTGTACCCTCTCCACTTCTCAGACTTCTAACTCCAGGAACCATGTCTACCAAAACCACCATCAGAAGTCAAACCAGCCACCGTGGCTTCAGTGCCGGCTCAGCCAGATTGCCTGGGCTGAACCGCTCTGGCTTCAGCAGTGTGTCTGTGTGCCGCTCCCGGGGTAGCGGTGGCTCTGGGGCAGTGTGTGGAGGAGCTGGCTTTGGCAGCAGAAGCCTCTATGGTGTGGGGAGCTCCAAGAGGATCTCCATTGGAGGGGGCAGCTGTGGCATTGGTGGAGGCTATGGCAGCCGAGTTGGAGGAGGCTTCGGCTTTGGAGGAGGAGCCGGCAGTGGCTTTGGCTTTGGTGGTGGAGCTGGTAGCGGTTTTGGCTTCGGTGGTGGAGCTGGTTTTGGTGGTGGCTATGGGGGTGCTGGTTTCCCCGTGTGCCCCCCTGGAGGCATCCAAGAGGTCACCGTCAACCAGAGCCTCCTCACTCCTCTGAACTTACAAGTCGACCCCACCATCCAGCGGGTAAGGACTGAAGAGCGCGAGCAGATCAAGACCCTCAACAACAAGTTTGCCTCCTTCATCGACAAGGTGAGACGTGGTTCTGTCCAGGGCAAATGAGCATGAGTAGAATCTGGAGTGAATGCCAAAGACAGCTGTGGAGGGAAGATGTTCTAGGCTTTGCTCAATCACTGCCATTGTCTCTAGGTGACTCTGTCCTGACGTTGTCCACTCTGTAGTTGCAGCTGGCAATCAGGGTCAGAGTTCCTCTCCTAATAGGTTGCCCCATCAGGGTGTCTGATTCCAGTGCACTGAGATGAGCTCAGGCCTCACATCACAGAGGACAGAACTGAGGCAGGAGTCTCTACAGGGAAGTTTGGAGCCATCACGGCAGCACTAAACTGCACCACACTCCAGCATGTCACTGCTAGGCTGCCTGTGCCCTGCCTGAGAGCCCTGCCTTCCTCAGAGGGATGGTGTTGGGAGCTCTGCTCTGGATTGTGCCTGTAGGCCCAGGGCCAGGGACTATACTGAACAGGTTGAGGCAGACAGCATGAGACAGGAGTCACACTTGTGAAGGGATCACAGCAGAATGAACTTCAAACTTCTCTCATTTGGTGCCTCCAGGTGCGCTTCCTGGAGCAGCAGAACAAGGTCCTGGACACCAAGTGGGCCCTGCTGCAGGAGCAGGGCACCAAGACCGTGAGGCAGAACCTGGAGCCCTTGTTTGAGCAGTACATCAGCAACCTCAGGAGGCAGCTGGACAGCATCACTGGGGAGAGGGGCCGCCTGGACGCAGAGCTGAGGAGCATGCAGGAGACCGTGGAGGACTACAAGAACAAGTGAGTTAAAAAAGGAACGCAGTTTGCCGAGTTCATAGTAATAAAGACCCAAACCTAGACATGGACTCCAGGAATTGAAATAGTGAAACGAGATAGTTTTGTCAAACAGCTGAAGTCAAACACCATGGAGGGCAATAGGAGCCTAGGGAGAGAAAAGGAGTAAAATATTCAATCACACAAAACATTCATCAGTGGTGTGATTTGGTTATATTGCATTTATAGAAATGGGGGCTGGGTCACAGATACATTTGAGGCCATCTACCTGCTGACTACAATGTGCGGAACCCTCCCTCTTGTAGATATGAAGACGAAATCAACAAGCGCACAGCAGCAGAGAATGAATTTGTGACCCTGAAGAAGGTAAGCTGACTGAGTTTCTCTGCTGATGGAGAGGAATGGCTTTGCATGTCTGGTTTATTGCAGAGCATGGTTGCCAGGGAGGCAGAGCAGACATTGCTGTGCAAGACAAATAACCCAATTCCATGTTGTTGACTCTTTCGTCAGGATGTAGATGCTGCCTACATGAATAAGGTTGAACTGCAAGCCAAGACAGACAGTCTGACAGATGAGATCAACTTCCTGAGAGTTCTCTACGATGCAGTAAGTCACCTCTCTCTCTCTCTCTCTTTCTCTCTCTCTCTTTCCTCCCTCTTCAATCTGCCCCATTCACTTTATTTCCCCTGTGCACAGTGAGAGTGTGGTGTTGGTAACATCTGTATTCCTTACATCCAAAGCTGATGTTGCCTCTCTGTTCTGTAGGAACTGTCTCAGATGCAAACTCACATCTCTGACACATCTGTGGTCCTCTCCATGGACAACAACCGCAGCCTGGATCTGGACAGCATCATTGCTGAGGTCAAGGCCCAATATGAGGAGATTGCTCAGAGGAGCCGTGCTGAAGCAGAGTCTTGGTACCAAACCAAAGTGAGTATTTAGGGGGAGCCTGATGAAGAAAAATGGGGACAAAATGAATCCATAAGACGCTAATTTCCTCGGAGGTTAGAGGTCTACTAAGGAGAAACGGGGATCTTGTAAGAGCAAATGGACCTTGCACTTGTGTTATACAGTGAAGCTGTAGTCTACCATTCAAAAGAACCCAGAAGAAGAGGGAAAGTTGCCATAAATGGGGTCCATAGTCCCTGAGCTTGAGCTCTTCTGGGAATATAGGACCTCATGAGGTCACACAGAACATTTTCAGTTCCCAAGAGAAGTATGTAGTCCATGCTCTCCCACAGCTTCTCCTGAGGAAAAGCCATTGCACCAAGGATAGCGCAGTCCAGTTAGATGTGAATTAGGTTTTGCGGGCAAAAACTCAATTAATCTTCTATTTTCCATTGATCTTCAGTATGAGGAGCTGCAGGTCACAGCAGGCAGACACGGGGACGACCTGCGCAACACCAAGCAGGAGATCGCTGAGATCAACCGCATGATCCAGAGGCTGAGATCTGAGATCGACCACGTCAAGAAGCAGGTAGCACAGACCAAAAGCATCACAGGATGCTTCCTTCATTTCTGTGCTCCAGCCTCCTGCTCACTGGGAGCGAAGATCTCGGGCTCGCCGGGTGGTGGTGACACATGCCTTTAATCCTAGCACTTGGGAGGTAGAGGAATGTAAATCTCTGTGAGTTCGAAGCCAGCCTGGTCTACAAGACGTACTTCCAGGACACCTAGGGCTGTTATACAGAAAAACCTTGTCTTGAAAAACAAAAAATCAAATGAACAAACCAAGAAGACCATGGATAAAATCACCCTCTCGAAAGAACCACAGTACAAGTTTGTTTTTCTTTCTTTCTCTGCCCAGTGTGCCAACCTTCAGGCTGCCATTGCTGAAGCTGAGCAGCGTGGGGAGAATGCCCTCAAGGATGCCAGGGGCAAGTTGGAAGGGCTGGAGGACGCCCTGCAGAAGGCCAAGCAGGACATGGCCAGGCTGCTGAAGGAGTACCAGGAGCTCATGAATGTCAAGCTGGCCCTTGATGTGGAGATCGCCACCTACAGGAAGCTGCTGGAAGGAGAGGAGTGCAGGTGAGTGCTCCCCCTCCTCCATGATGCCAGGCATGAGCACAGCATGAGGGAGCACTGGCTGTGGGCACAATGCCTCCCTTCAGAGACCACTCTACCAGGGATACTCTGTGACCTGTCACCACACTGAGGGGTCACGAGGACTGAGGTCATGGCTCCCTAGGTCTCACCTTCTCATCTGCTCTGTTCCTATTCTAGGCTGAATGGTGAAGGCGTTGGACCCGTCAACATCTGTAAGTACACTGCTTGCCGCCTCCCCTTCCCCTGCCTTGTGCCTGACTCGCAGGACATAGCCGGCTCACAGTGTCCTCTGTCCCCTCCTCCTCTTCACAGCTGTGGTGCAGTCCACCATGTCCAGCGGCTATGGCAGTGCAGGCGGTGCCAGCAGCAGCTTGGGCCTGGGAGGAGGCAGCAGCTACTCCTACAGCAGCAGCCATGGCCTTGGAGGTGGCTTCAGTTCTGGCAGTGGCAGAGGCCTCAGTGGTGGCCTGAGCTCCTCTGGTGGCAGCTCTTCCACCATCAAGTACACCACCACCTCCTCCAGCAGGAAGAGCTACCGGCACTGAAGTCCCTGTCGCCTGAGCTTGTCTGCTCCCCAGATGCTCTGGCAGAGCCCTGTGCTTGGGTGCTGTCCCTGCTGCCTTCCTCCCTCTGCTCTAAGTTTAGGGCTGAGAAGCTGAGTTCTTGTTGCTCCCCTCTGTCCCCAATACGCATCTTCTCATTGTCATCCTCTGACCTCACATTTGGTGCTGCAAGCTCTAGTTAGGTTTCCAGACTCTGCCTCCTGACTGTCTCTGAGGCTGCCTGAGAAAGGGTCTCTCTGCCCCTTTCCTTCTGGAAATCGTTGTCTGGGTCCTACTCACCTAAACAGGAGCTTCCCTTTGTCTCCCAGTGGCCTGAGAAAACCCCATCTTCTCTGTCACGAACCTCCCTGGCAGTAACTGTGATCACACACGTCAAGAGTCCTGTGATGTACAGAGTCTGTGCTCATGTGATGTTTCTCTGTTCTTTGCTTTCTTGTAATAAAGCGAAATAAAGCATGTTTATAACATAATGGCTTCTCCCACGTGTATTTTTGTAGCACATTGTTTTCTATGGAGACTCTGCAACTTTGTTAGATAAGACATGCCAATCATTCTTATTGTTTGGGGATCTCATGTGAGTATAGAGTGTTATTTGAGAAAACCTACTCCTCATTTCTACCTCCCCCATTCCTCCTCTATCCCTTTCTGTTTTTCCTCTTCATCTCCTTGTGCTGCCTCTTGCTTTCTTTGGTTCCCCAATGAGTTCACTCGGTGTTGCCTGGAGGTGCAGGGTAATTAGAGTCTAATGGACATGACACCGTTCAGGGGACACATTCCTAAGAAAATTACCGTTTATCCTAGTAGTCATCAAAATCCAAAACCTCTCTGCAAGATGTCACTGTGAGGGAGCTCTTTCCTATTCCATGCTGGGCTTTTCACTGGCTCCCTGTCTTGAGACTTTTCTGCATGTAGTCACAGCTACTGTGATGTGTTGTGTACAAACGTCCTGCCATGTCCACCAAACATTCTTTCACCGCTAATATTCACTACCCCTGGCTCCTACAATCTTCCTTTTCTGTTCTGCAATGTCCCTGAGCCGTGTCCTGTGTGGAGGTGTGATACATCTGTCCATTTAGAGCTGAACACTTCACGGTCTCCTATCTCTGCCTGATGATCAGTTGTGTGTGTGTCTCTGTTAATCATCATCTACTGTAAAAAGAAGTTTTTCTGATTCATCTTGAAATATACACTAATAATTGGTATAAAGATTTGAACTTAATGGATATCTTATTACTATGTACATTTAACAGAATAACTATATTAGTTCTTCCCCTGGGGCCTAGGACTAAGGCACCTGGTTTGAGTCCATTTAAGCACCAGGAATGAGTTCTGACTTGTGAAGTGGACCTTAGATGCAATCAGATCGTGGATGGTTATTCCCATAACATTAGTGCCACTATTGCCCCATTGGCCAACTCATCCTTCCTGTAGCTCACAGGGCTAACAGCAGGGTAAGGCTGTGAATACTTTCCCGTGTGATAGACTTTGTAGTGCTATGAAAGCTATTCAGTAGGGATAAAGTTTCTGGATCCATGCAAGCTCGATTTCTCCAGCGATTTAGGATTCTGTGTGGTTATCTTCACATAGTATTACCATCAAGTTCTGCAGGATAGCCCAGAGCAAAGTTATTTGCCTATAATATTTCAGAGGGCACACTGACGTACAGCTCAAAAGAAACAAGCCATACCTTCCACTAGTACTTTTATTTGATACCCTGTAAAGTTGGAGTGATACATTGTCTCTCTGTTATAGGGTACAGCATTTAACTCCTTTTATAAGAGCATATGGATGCATTTCAGGAGGCTTTAACAATAGAAGGCTTCTATATGGCATATTCAAGATCTTGACCCTTGGTTGTCTCCTCCCATAATACTCCTGTTTCTTACCCTCACATCCTCTGCCCCCTTCAACCCTTCCGGTTCCATTACTCTTCTTTCCCAATCCATTCGACCTTTAATCTGTCCCTCCTTCGTTTGAAGTCCTTCTGTGACTCCTTTTTGTCTTTCTGCATTCTATGCCAACTCTAACTGAAATATCCACATCTAAAGATTCATCTCTGGGAGAGGAATATGTTGCAGTTGTCTTTCTGGGTCTGGATTCCCTCATAAAAAGGATCTCTAGAATGTCCTCTGTGTCAAAATGTTTATTTAGATTATACTACAAAAAAATTTAAAAATCACAAAACACCAAGTTTCACACAAGGATAAATCAATATTCAGGATCCCTGGAACCCTCTGAAAGAAATAGAGTCACCAAGATACATGCTTCAAAGGAGAAGTCTACTGCAACTTAGAAACATCTGTGGGAAGAATCAGGGTTTAAAGGACAGGATTTATTCTCAAGGGATACAAGGATGAAGAATGTGGGTCTTGCAAGTAAGATGACAGGATCCTGACAAGTTTGGCCAACAGGAAATCCAATCCAAGAAAAGTAGAAAACAGCCCAGGGCTCCAACCCTGGCTCCCCAGGCAGGAGCAGCCAAATTCCTGAGCACAAAGGAAGCCAGGTAGCCATGGAAAAACTGACTGGCAGATTTAAACAAAGGAGAAGCCGATGGTTCTCACAAGCCTTAACCCATCAAGGGATCTGGTGTAAGAGTCACTCCTCCGCTTGCCAGGCTGGCTTTGAAGAAATCCACTTTGCCAGCTGTACTAGCTGGTTCTGTGTGTCAACTTGACACAAGCTAGAGTCATCAGAGAAGAAAGAGCCTCAGTTGAGAAAATGCCTCTATGAGATCAGGTGTCAAGCATTTTCTTATTTAGTAATTTATGGGAGACGACCCAGCCCATCCCTGGTTTACTGGTCTTGGTTTGTATAAAAAATCAGATTGAAGAAGTCATGAGGAACAAGGCAGTACAGACCTCTCCACTATTCTGCATCAGCTCCTGCCTCCAGGATCCTTCCCTGTTTTGTTCCTGTCCAGACTTCTTTTAGTGATGAACAACAATCTGGAAGTGTAACCTGAATAAACCTTTTCCTCCCCTCTTGTCTTTTTGTCCTGGTGTTTCATTGTAGCAATAGAAACCACTCCCACATCTCAGAGTGCCAGAGCTGGGCATCATTTTAAGATGGCAGCTCAGTTTGCAACTCAGTTACTGTGGATACCTGAAAGCAAGGGACCTAGAAACAGTCCCCATTAGGAGGGGGCAATGAGAGGCATTTTTGGAGAGGAGGAGACTTAGTCGGGGACCCAAGGAGAAATGCAAGTGTTAGGGACTTTTGTTTTGAAGGGTGTGGTGGTCAGTGGTTTCTTTCCCACCGTGAGAAAGCAGACCTGTCACCTGAGGATTTGCAGAGCCCAGAGCCAACACCCTGCACAAGAACGTCAGGAACGAAGAGAAGGTCAAGGCGATACTACAAGCAGACAGCAAGAAAGAAAAAATGAATGAGCATGGCCACACTGCTCAGACACATTCAACAGACCAAACATACTCATCCGTGGAAAGCAGGAGGGAGCTGAGCTAAAAACTGAAGGCACAGACAACTATGCAGTGACATTTTAGCAAAACATCCCTAAATATAGGACAAAATATTGATATCCAAACACAGGAGACTTTTAGAATCCCAAATAAATATGCTCAGAAATGAAATTTTCCAAGTCACTTTCTAGTTTAATTGTCATGGCTATAGAACAAAGGAACAATATTAAAAGCTGTGGAGGGAAATCACTAACTCATACTAGCAAACTCATTAGAATGATGTCTAAAATCCAACAAAGCGTGGAATCACAATGTGCACACCCACCACCATACAGACTCACACATGTGCTTTATGTATATATGTGCATACTCAAATTTTGTATGCACGTATAAGCTGTTTAACATATGCATATATATGTTTTTTGAAGTATGTTCTCATTGTATTCCAGGCTGAGCTGGCAATTGATATGTAATAGAATGTCTTTGACAGGATTCTGATCCTCCTGCCTCCACTTCCGGGGTGCTGGAGTTACAGCATGGCGCCTGTCTAGAATGTCACATTGAAACCCCTAGAAATAAACAGCTGCCAACAGGAGTCCCTCTTCCCAAAAAGGTTAGCTTTCAAGACTGGTGGAGGATTACAGGCACTCTAAGACAAACACATCCTGAAGCAGGTCAGAGCCCTTCGGCCAACATCCAGGAGGATTGAACACAAAGACAATAAGGCAATCACCAACACAAGCGCTCAGAAAACAATGAACATCATGAGAGGAAACATGAGCACATGAGAAAAAGGAAAAGGATCAAACATGTTCAAGAAGTCAGTAGACCCTAGAAATGAACAAAGAGTTTCAAAGAAGAAAAAATAAGATTGAGTCAGTCAGCAAAGGAACAGCAAATATTGGAATCAGTAACGGTGAATCAATAATGACCCTGATTATAAATCGTCTGAACGCTCCATTTGTTTTTAAAAAGAGTAATTGGTCTGAAAACTAGGGTTTAGAGAAATGATGGCTCAGTCACTAAAAATGCATTCTGCTCTTTCAGACCGGAAGTTCTGGTCCCAGCACTCAGTGACCCCTGACCCTACCAGCTCTGCACTCACATCCACAAACCTCCCACATGCGTGTATTTCATTAAAAGGAATATTCCAGGGAGTTGCAACCCACCCTAGCAAGAATGGCTGTCATCTACAAAGTGAACATCAGCAGTGCCAGTGAGAATGCCAGGGAAGGGAGGGGCCCTGCAGTCTGACTGGCAGCGCCTCTTCTGTGGACCTCAGTGAGGTTGTTCCTCAGAAACCTGACTATGGGCCGAGCATATGATCCAGGCATACACACCAAAGATATGAAGTCAGCATTTCAGAGACACCTGCACATCCATGTATATTTTGAATTATACATATAGGGAAGGCATGGACTCAGTCTAGATGCCCATCAGCTGATGAACAGATGAACTGTGAGGTGTTGGGGTGTAGTTAACCACGAGGAAATAAATTACAACATTTGGTAAGAGAACAGATGGAACTAGAGAGCTTTATGGGAAGTGAAGTAAACCAGACACAGAAAGACAATTACTCCATGCTTTCTTACATACGTGTAATACATGTATACATTCATACATGCCCATAAATGCATCTGTGCATGCATGCATGTGTGTGTATGAGACAGACACAGAGATATCAGTTCCCAATACCTAGAAACACATTTTGCCTTAAGCCACTGGGAGCCACACCTAGCAGGATCCCAGAGGAATTCCTTAACAGGTTAGACACATTAACCACACCCTTCTAAGAGGCAGAGAAGGCAGAAACCAAGGAGCAAACAGCCACTCAACAAATGCAAGACCTAGCATTATCATCATCCCAAACCAAGATGCCCAATGATGGCCCAAAAACGCTGTCAACATCAGCCATGACAATATGTCTTCACTAGAGCCCAGGAATCCTACCTGAGTAAGCCCTGAGAATTGAAACATGGCTTAGGCACAAGGCAGAGACCTTAAACAGCCTTTGTGGATATGATAGAAGTCAAAGAGGGAATGACTCGGCC